AGGACAGGAGGTCAGCGTCCCTCAAAGGTCTCCCCCAGAAGCGAGTCTCACCAGGCTCGGGGACGGCATCAGTAAAGAAGTGGGAGACAGAAAGCTGGCGGCCCGGGAGATGGCGGAGGTCAACACAGCCCTGGTTACCATGGCCAGCCACCCCCAGTCTCTGCGTTGCCACGGCAACCCTACTCCGTCCCCACACGGGGCCTGCTGTGAGTGAAGCCAGAGCTGCTTACACCCCGCTCCCTGGGAGGGGCGGCGGCGGCTGGTCTGCGAGGAGCAGCTGCTCAGCAAGTGCCAACCCCGGGGAGCCCAGGTCCACTCACGGCCCTGCACCCTGCTCCAGGGCCGGGCTCTGCCATCATGCCCTCTCCTCCACCGGGCACGGAGCAGACCTGATTGCGGACGCCCGGCCGACCCGCTGATGCTCTTGTCCAGCTCCCCATTTTGGTAGACAGGGGACAGGCTGGGGAAAGGGTCAGGGAGTCAGGGGGCAGCCAGAATGGAGCTGAGCAGGTCAGAGCAGGACGGTGGGCAAAGGCACCTGTGGTTTCAGAGCTCCAAGGCCAAGCCCCGGGGTCAGCCCCTGACAGTGGGCAGCCGGGTCTGGAGGCCGATGGCCGTCCACCGAGGCCCTGACTCCGCTGGGCCCTCGTGGATCTCCTGGCCGTCCCCTGCTGTGAGAAGCTCCGGTTCAGACGAGCTGTCCCAGGAGTGTGGTGGCCCCTGCCCTTCCTGGTGACTCAGCTGGTGCCCGATTCTGGCTCTGGGCCCCTTCCCCCGGGTGCAGGTGTGGTGGGGCGGTGGGTCTGCGCTGGCTCTCCTGACAGGGCTCGGCAACTCGTCCAGCCACGCGGGCCCGGGGAGGGCGCCTCGAGCTGGCCGGTTGGTGGGCAGAGGCGGGACGGCCGTGTCCTGTGGGCAGGCGTGGGGGGACACAGTCTGCTGTGTGCCCAGGACAGCTCCAGAGGGGGTGAGGGTGAGCCCTGGCCCCGGGTGTGGCCCGAGGACCGGGAATCGGTGTCACCAGGAACCAGTTGGAAATGCAGGCCTCAGGCCCATTTCCACAAGAGCCTCGGGATCCAGGCAGCCACGAGGGCTGGGAGGCCCCAGAGGCCTCGGCACGCGAGGCCACAGCCTGGTGAAGGGGGCGAGGAACGTTCCAGAAGCAGAAAGAACATCCAAGGCCAGACTCGGGGGGCCAGGTGGGGGGGACCTCTCTGTGAAGAGATGGCCCTGGGGACGCTGCTGGCTCTTCTTGGCCCCTTTTCTGGGTGACCACCCCTCGGTCAGTCAGGATGGAGGACTTTCAGGGGTCACGTAGAGAGCAGAGCACTCGGTGACACCTGCCAAGCCCTGCCAGACGGCTCTTCAGGACCTTCATGAGAGGCTCAGGGGTCCCACGCGGGGTCTGGCAGGGGGCAGCCACGACCCAGCTCCCACCCTGCCCGGGCCATGGGCCAGAGCCAAGCGGGGGGGCGGGGTCAGGCTGAGGGGACCCCAAGCCCACCCAGCAGGACCCGCTGAAGCCAGGCGGGGGGACCAGCAGCCTCCTGGGGGAGGGGGAGGGTGCTGAGCTGCAGGGTGGGGGCTGCTTGCTGAAGGCCTCACTAGGGTCTCTCTAACGCTGGGTCTCACAAGGACACGCGCTGATGGTCTGGGAGGGGCTTCAGGAGCCCCCTCGAGTTTGGCCAAGCAGACCCTCAATCAGTCACCCACCTCTCCTGTCCTGGGGAGGAGGAATGACTTACCTTTTGGCCAAACTCCATGTTCTGCTCACATCCCAAGAGCAGATCTGCACTTTAGAGTCAGCTGTGGCCCCCGAGCCTGGTCTGGAGCCTGGAGTCCCTCTGCAGTGGCCTCAGGGGCCCTCTAAGCACACATGGCTGAGCCACGTCACCTGGGATGCCCAGGAGCGGGCACAAGGGCCATTTGCCTCCTGACCTGTTACCATGACAAAAATGCTACTTGGGCGTTCTTGCTTTGGGCTAAGGGGGCGGGACTGGGGTCTTAGAGTCAGGGTGCCCAGTCTCACAGAAGAGGAGTCTGGCAGGGAGAGGGAGGGGCTCAGCTCTGACACCAAAGGGTGGCGCTTCCCACCCCACCGCCCTGGTCCAGCCCCCTCCTACTCACAGAGTGCCAGACCCGTCACTGGCTGGCCACTTCACTGCCCCCCCGGCCCGTTGGGACAGGCTTCCTTCCGTGAAGCCCAAACCTGTCTCTGTGGCCTCTCTGCTTTGGCCTCTTGGATCTTTGAAGTTGTTGTGGTCACTGATCCATTCAATGCTCTGTCCCCAGTCTCACCAAGAACAGCCTCCACTGATTAACTTCACCACCAGTTATCACTCCCTGATGCCTCCTGTGGAAGTTGGCACCAGTCCACTGAGTGGCCTTGGCCAAGCAACTCGGCCAACTCAGTTTGCTGAGCCTGGTCCCAGGGTGAGCTGCCTCCCACCGACCACCAGAGGTGTCCAGAATCCGCAGCCCACCCACGGCCAGCAGGGGGCGAGTGGGAGAGCGTATTGTGGTGAGGAACAGTGCTGGAGGCCCCACCCAGTTCTGGCATGCAGGGGTGCCAGGGATGGGACTGTGGGAGGTCCCCTGGGCACCAAGCTCTGCCCAAGCACCAGCATCTAGCAGGGGCTGGTCGGGGGCAGAGTGGCATCTCCCCAAAAAGACTGTGCACGTCTCACTCCCGCTACCTGTGAGTGCAACCTTATTTGGACGTAGGGTCTTTGCAGATGTGCCCAGGTTAAGGGTGTCAGGGGAGGTCACTCTGCCCTTAGGGCAGAGCCCATGAGAGGTGTCCTTAGAAGACTTGCAGAATCACAGAAGGAGGCCACGTGGAGGCAGAGGAGGACACTGGAGGCCAGCAGTCCCCAGAAGCCAGGGGAGAGGCCTGGAACAGACTGTCCCTCAGAGCCTGCAGAAGGGACAAACCCTGCTGACACTCTGATCTCGGACTTCTGGTCTCCAGAGCTGTGAAAAAGAAATCTCTGTTGTTTTAAGCCACCCAGTTTATGGTGATTTGTTTGGGCAGCCCCAGGAGACGAATTCAAGTGCCCGTTTGGTCCCTCCCCTGGAGTCAGCCTCCTGACTGGGCGGCTGGGCCCTGGCTCCAGGGCCTGCAGGGGCAGGGGCACAGCCAGCCCCTGGTGTGCCTGCGGAGCCAAGTCCTGGTCAGGGTGGGCAGCGTGCCTCGGGCCTGGCTCTCGCGGCCTTACCTGGACAGGGCGAGGATGCCCCAGGTCCCCTCCTCAGGTCCGGTGATTTGCCGGAGTGTCCGCAGGACTCAGGGACACAAGCCCGTCATGTCCTGCCACTGTCGATTCCGAGGGCTGTGGGGAAGGGCACCTAAGAGCAGCCAAAGGAACAGGGACTGCGGATAGGAGCAGAAGGCCTCGGTCCCGCAGCGCTGGGTGTGCCACCCGCCAGGCACGTGGGCGCGTTCACCAACCTGGGAACTCCCCAGGACCTCACAGAGGGTCCCACCATGCCGGCATGATGGCCTCGGTCCTGGCCGTGGGCCACTGCAGGCCGGCCTTCTCCCCAGCTGCAGGTCGGGGGCCGGCTCTCCTGCTGTGGGGCTGGGTCCCCCCACCACGGCCCCCCGTTCCCTTCGTCAGCGTGAGCTCGGGCCACATTGAGAGCAGCTTATTAAGAAAATCCAAACTCGCGCCTCTTGCCCCGTCACTCAGGAAATTTGAAATTCTGGCAGCTCTTTGCCAGACGGGGACCGAGATACCTGTGTGCTTTCTTTGTGACAATATCATGGTCCCGACTGAGCACCTTCCAGATGGAGCCCCCAGCCCTCCTGCTGGCGCCCCAAGCTCTGCCCTGGACTCTGGGCGCTGGTCTCGGGAGGTGCGCTTGGGACCGCCCCACACAGCCGCTGTGACAGATGTGAGGTGGCCAGCTCTGCTGTTTTGCAACTTCCACATTCTTGGCTCTAGCTCCTGCCCCCACCCCCCCACCGCGGCTCCCCCCAGTGACATTCTTTCAGAAGATCAGCTGCTGCCACATCAAACCTTCTCTGTCCAGCCCTCACCGAGGCCCAGGCCGGCCACCTTCCCTGGGCTGCAGGGGTGGGCAGCAGCAGGCCCACGGACCCCAGCCTTTGCAGGTCAGGAGCCTGTGTGTGCGAGGCCGTGGCCCAGCCCTGGGTGTGAAGGCTCACACGGTGAGGAGCCTGCCTCAGAGAGATACAGGTGACAGAGGGTCGTCCAGGAAGCCCGCCCTAGGAGCCAACACAGGTGGCATGCTCCCCTCTCCAACCAGCCTTTCCAGACCAGGAAAAGGCAAAGGAGAGGGATCCTGTGTCCTCGCGGGATCCCCAGGGCAGCCCTGGGGCAGAGGTGTTCCTCAGAGGAGGGTGGAGGTTGTTTGGGGGGAGGAGCAGGAGTGGAGACCAAGAGAGCCCTGAGTGTCCGTGGGATTGTTCTGAAAGGTGCCATTCTTTTTTTTTTTTTTGTACCAGGGATTGAACTCAGGGACACTGGACCCTGAGCCAGCCCGATTTTTTTGTATTTTATTTAGAGACAGGGTCTCACTGAGCTGCTTAGCACCTCACTGTTGCTGAGGCTGGCTTTAAACTTGTGATCCTCCTGCCTCAGCCTCCAGAGCCACTGGGATTACAGGCGTGTGCCACCGTGCACAGCTCAAAATGCCATTCTTTTTGTTTTTATTTTTGACTTGATATTGTGTCTGGCACATGTTTTCAGCTAGCATACAGAGGAGGCCACCAAACCCTCCTGTCTCCGTCTTGTGAGTGGGAAGCCTGCCACCCTGTGAGCTGGAAGGGCCAGGTTGCAGCTGGCAGATGGCCTCTGGGGACCCCGCGCCTGTGGCTCCATGGGGCAGGGGCAGCTCCAATGTGGTGGAGTCTGGGGGCCCACAAGGACAGTATATTGTCTTCTGTGGGGGTAGCAGTGGGCTCAATTCTAACTTGACCATTCTGGGTCCAGAGGTCCTCAGCTTCCTGGTGCCAAATGACAAACTTACAACAATTTAATTTAAAGATCCTCATCGGCTTTATTCTGTGTTTCCAGAATTGGGCATCACCCCACTGCATAAACAGAGTCGGCGTGCCGTGGGCTGAGCATGGGCAGTTGGTTTACAGACAGGAAGGGCTGGGCAGAGCAGGAATGAGGACTGGTCACCTCAATGTCACTTGGAAGGCAGGGCCGGAACAAGAGAAAAACAACAGGTTGTCCACCCTGGCCTCTCTGGGTCATGTTCTACGTTAAGGATTAGGGAAGAGGCGACTTTGTTTCCTGCCTAGGGTAGCTGGAGGTGGCTTCTGTTGTTGCTCACTGAAACTGGTCTGTTTGAGAAATGTGGCTCTTTCTCTCCTGGTTTCTTGGAAGGTCAGGGAAACAGCTGTCGCTGACACACAACTTCAGCGTGGGTGACTCCATGTGGTTTTCAGCCTGGTCTGTTGGGACCCAGTGCAGGAGCCCTGTCCAAAAGTGGCGTCCTGTAATGTTTAATGCTGGTTGTGTCCGGCTACAGATGGCCACAGATTCTCTGTGGCACATGCCATCGGAGGTGGAATCTATCTCCTGCCTTTGGGTCTCTCCTGGCTTTGAGACGGGATATGAGACTGGGCCTTAAGAGGCCTTGAGTGTCATGTCTTGGAACACTGACACCAATGACCAAGGCTAGGTTGGTGTCCAGCAGGAGGACGGACCGTCTGGAGACGAGGGCCCTGCCGGCTGGCTACCTCAGCCAGAGCAGCCCCCCAACAGCATGTGAGCCAGGATGGGCCACCCCGGCCGAGCCCAGGCCGTCACCTCCAGTGGGACCAGGTGAGAAGGAGCGGTGGCCGTCGTGACCTTGATTCCTGCTCGATCCTTAGCCCACTTCTGGCTCTTCCCGTCAGTCCTGGGAGCGTCCCCGTCCCCCCATCAGCCCCCTTCCTGCCTGGGTTAGCTGGAGGTGGCTTCTGTGGTTTGCAGCTAAGCACCCTGGCCAGCAGGATCTGGTCCTGAAGTGGATTCTAAGTAAGAGACCCTCTAAGAGGTGGACTGAGCGCAGAGAGAACCCCCTGTGAACACACCCTCTAGAAAGGCCAGTTGTGAGACCTCGACAACAGCAAGTGTGGGTGAAGGCAGGACCAGCGGGGACTCCCGCTGGACAGAGGGCTGGACAGTCGTGGGGTGCTGCTGGTCCCTAGGAAAGCTGAGCTCCTGCCCCGGGAGAGTGAGCACACCCACGAGGGTAGGCACGGGAGTGTTCTTAGGTCTAAGATCCTGTTCCTGGACCCTGTCGAAAAATAAAAAATAAAAAGGGCCGGGGTGCAGCTCAGAGGTAGAGCAGCCCTGGATCCAATCCCCAGCACAAAACATAGCCAAATCACACCAGAACACGAGACGTCACGTCTGATAGGGTGGCCGGCACAAAGAACGGGAAAATCGGCAGGCACCAAGCCCTGGTGGAGCGAGGAGCTGGACGTCCTGTAGGAAGCACGCAGCACTTCCCCTGAGAGCCAGGCGTAGGACCAGCGCTCGGGCAGCACTCCTGGGTCTGTACCCAGCCAAGCAGATGCCCGTTCACCCTGCTCCTGCTGCACTGCTGGCCACAGCAAAAGGCAGAAGCCACCGAGGGTCCCCTCCGTGATGGACACGCGACTGTGGTGCACACACGCACCGCGGCAGGAAGGAGTCCCAACCACGGCTCAACCACGGCTTGAACTCCACTCACACGGGGGCCGAGAGCGGCCCCGTTCCTAGAGACAGAAAGCAGACGGGCGGCCAGGTGCTGGGGGGCCGGGCACAGCAAGTGGTGTGGACTGGGGACAGAGCTTCATCCTGGGAAGCGAGAGCTGGGGAGCTGGGCAGCGCACTCAAACACGTGAAGAAGGCAGGCTGTGTTATGCACCCCCAGATGGTCTAGGTCCCCCAGCACGTCTTAGGGCCCAGTGACTCTGGACAACAATGACCCACATAGGAGCATCTACCATATCTCTTGGCATACGGCACTAATTCAATAAATGTCTATTTAAAAACTGTTCAGAGAAACCTTATTCAAAATGCCAGAACTACTGAGAACAGCCCGAGTGCCCTCCAACCGCAGGACAGGGTGGAAATGCCGGCAGAGTCCGACCACGCAATTCAACTTCAGCTGCGTAGAGCTACGCGCGTCACTCTCACAGTGTAACATGCAACAAAGAGACTGTTGCTGATTAGTATGCGCCACAGGTTTCCTTTATATGATCGAGGACAGGAAAGACTCATCTACAGTGACTGAAGTCAGAGTAGTGGTTGGGAGGCTGCGAGACGGGGGCCTTCGGGGTTGGGGGGACTGTCCAGCATTTCCACCTGAGGGGTATTCATGTGGGTGGGTGTCTAAATGTAAGGTGGAAGCTGGCCATGGTGGCACATCAACTCAGGAGGCTGAGGCAGGAGGATCTCAAGTTCAAGGCCTGTCTGGGTAACTTAGTGAGAACCTGTCTCAAAACAAAAATATTTCAGAAAGGGCTGGGGATTTGGCTTAGTGGTTGAGTGCACTGTGTTCAACACCCTGTTCTGCAAAAAAAAAAATAAAGTGAGGTAGAAATTAATTGTGCTCCGCAACACAGCCCATGTGATACCCACAAAACAGTTTTTAAAGACCCCACTGCTTCCTGGAGGTCTCTCATTGCCCAAGAGCTGCTATAGCCTATGGTACCCAGGATAAAGCTCCCGCTGGACATGAGTATGGAGGACATGCTGCAGCCCTGGGGTCAGGGGAAGACAAAGGACATCCAGCCATTGGAGTGGGACTGGAGAGGTCAGAGGACAAGCTCAGATCCTAAGTCATGGACTGCAGCATAGGGACCCGGGGACATGCCGATAGATCTCTTATGCAACCGCAGCACTAAGAATGCTGAAAGCCACGTAGGCTGGCCAGGGTAGGGTGGCACTAGGAGGAAGCAGGTAGGGTGACTTAAACGCAAAGCTTAAAGAGACACTCAGGCTTAGGGGATACACAGCGGGGAATGCCCTTTGTCCCGCATCCTGCTGCCTGAAAGACAGAAGTGATGGCTGGAATCCCAGTAGTCCTGTGGGCCACGAGGTAATCCCAAGGATGACAGTCACGCACTAAGGTAGTGTAAAGAGAGAAGGAGCCTATCTCTAGAGAGACCACCTTCTCTCTTGGGTTTCAGAGAGAAGAATGAAAAATTTCACATAAGCCATTGCTATTTTGAGTTTTCATTACATGAAGCTACAGCTAAAATTACCTAGCACAGGTGCATCCATGGGCCATCCTGGCTTTGTGCCCGAGCCTGGGCGCTGGGAGTGCTGCCGTCATCTCCTCAACCGTCTGACAGAAACTAGACTCACTGGTGGCCCGTGAATTCCCCAGGATGATGCAGGGAAAGGAATCCAAGGAATCCAGCAGGCCTGAGGTGTGTACCCAGTGCCATCCGTCACCAGCCCTCCTCTGGACAGACCTGGACAGCTGTCCCCCAGTGCCCGGGGAAGACACCCCAGCCCCTCAGAGTGCCCCGTGGTTAGTGTCTGTAGGTCCGAACTTCCCACTGCACCAGGAGGAGGTCACCAGCTGACCGTGTGGTGCTTGGGACCAAAACAGGTGGCAGCTCAAAAAACACTCAGTGATCTGATCACTGGGAAGATTCAGCCCTGGTGAGCAGAGGCGACCCAAGAGTCCAGCCCTCACCTGACTCCCGTCTCGGCCACCCAGAGCCCCTTGGAAGGAAAGGTGGGCACATCTCTGAGAAAGGACTAGTGTGCCCAGCACTGGGAGCCGCTCCCTGCTCCCTGCTTCCCCACAGGCCCTTGGCCACCCACTGAGCCCTGAGCTCCGGGGAGAGGCTCTGACAGGGCCGGGGAGCGCCAGGCGGGGCCTCGCACGTGCTCTGCCTCTGAGCCACCCGCGGCCCTTGTGGGCCACCTCTAGTACCTGCTAGATCATCCCACGACCCCGGGTGGAGACGCGGGGTGCTTTTGCTGTGTCCCCTGAGCCTGGTTGGAGCACTGCTGAGGGCCGTCCCTCTGTCATGGTCCCTCTTCCTCACCCTCCTACGTGTCTGCACATGTCCTGCCTCAGGAGCACCCGGCTGTCCTGTGTCCACCTCCTGCCATCTCATCATACTGTGTCATCCCCCTGGGTCAGGGCTGTCCTGTGTGTCCCTGGTCACTTAATAAAGGGCACAACCTTTAGTGGAGGCTCAGCGGTGCCCCTCTGCTGGGGCAGGCGCTGCGCACGGGGCTGCAGGCTCTGGCCACCCAGGGAGAGGCAGCTGGAAATGCCGGGACACAGCGGGGCCTGGGCTGGGAGGTCCGGGGATGGCGTGGGAGCGGCCCTCTTCCCAGACAGCCTCTCCTCCCAGGCTGCGCCCATCTTGAGCCAAGAGACCCACGAGGCTTGCACTGCTTCCAGGCACCAGGCCACCTGTGTGCCTCCGCGGGGGCCTCGTGGGTGTCCCGAGTCTGGGGAGAGGAGGGAGCGATGCTTCAGGTTTCACCACAGGTTAACACCTGGCGGAGGGGCTGGTGGCCTCAGGGCAGGATGCTCGGCAGCACATCTCGATCCCCTTCTCTGGGGATGGAGAAAGAGGGCAGCGCCACTGACCTGCCCACGTGGCTCAGGGTTTGGTCAGTCTGGGGGTGGAAGGAGGGAGGTAGTGGAAGGAGTGACAGTGAGTTTTGGGGGAGAGGACGAGGGCAGACCCGTGGGGCGGCCCTGTGGGCAGGAGCTTCGGGGTCTCGTGACGCTCCACTGAAGGCCCCACTGCGGCTGGCTCTTCCTTGCTGAGTGGCCACAGGGCCTGCTCGGCTGCTGAAGAGGTGCCACAGGGAGGAGGGCAGCTCCACAGGGCTCCCTTGGCCTTGTCACCTAGGCGGGTCCCAGGCAGCAGGAGGCTCACCTGGCACCTCAGGGGCCCCAGAGACTGCGGCAGGCCTTTCACCTCGAGGGAAGCCGGGCCTCCAGGTCTGCGTGGGCCTCCAGGTCTGCGTGGGCCTCCAGGTCTGCGTGGGCCTGGCCGTCACTCTGCCCTCAGTGTTCCCAGCCCTCCTCCATCGGACGCTTCACACCTCGGTGGCCACCACAGGTCACGCAGGTGGACCTAGGGCTAACTAAGCACTGTCATGAGTGTGGCCATCACACATTACGTGGCTTCTGCAGCCCGCGAGGCTCTTCCCGGTCAGCAGGCCCGTGCCAGGAACTGGCCCGAGAGCTGTGGGTTCTGCTGGTTTCCAGGAGCCACCCGAGGGAGGACGTTTCGTCTGCTTCCTGGAGTCGGCAGCAGAGTCCGGCCTCTGGCCTCTGGGGCTGCCCAGGCGCTTGGGCAGAGGACGGAAGGGGAAGGCAGCGGGGCTGGCTGGGGGCTGCCCCGAGGTCGGCCAGGGACAGGGAGGCTGCCCTGGAGGACAGGGGTGCGGTGAACTCCGAGATCCCTTGGGCTGTGTCCTCAGATCACGGCAGCCAGGGCCACTGCAGGGCATGGCCTCCTTCCTCTGGGACCCACAGGTCTCTAGCCCTCTGGAAGAAGGGTGCTGGTGGCCTCCCTGGCCTACGCTTCTGCAGCGAGGGTGGCTGCCAGTCTGGGGGACCCAGAGCTGTCGGGGTGCCGTGGCCTGGGTGTCACTGTGGACCTGGGTGTCACTGGACCCTGGGTGTCACTGTGGACCCTGGGTGTCACTGTGGACGTGGGTGTCACTGTGGACCTGGGTGTCACTGTGGACCCTGGGTGTCACTGTGGACGTGGGTGTCACTGTGGACCTGGGTGTCACTGTGGACCTGGTGTCACTGTGGGCCTGGGTGTCACTGTGGACCTGGGTGTCACTATGGACCCTGGGTGTCCTTGTGGACCTGGGTGTCACTGTGGGCCCTGGGTGTCACTGTGGACGTGTCACTGTGGACCTGGGTGTCACTGGACCCTGGGCACTAGTCCCCCTGCTTGGCTGGGCCTGTCTGTACGTTTCCCCTCCCTCACCCCCTGGGTACGGCCCTCAGCCTGGGCTTGGAGGTGTCAGTGGTGGGATTGGTCCTCAGATCTGGTCGCTGTTGTTGTTGCAGGGCTGGGGTTGAACCCAAGGCCACTGGACCCCTGGGAGACACCCCTATATTTTTTATTTAGAGGCAGGGTCTTGCTGAGTTGCCCAGGCTGCCCACTCACTGGCCTTGGACTTGTGACCCTCCTGCCTCACTCCTGAGTGGTGGGCACCCAGTGGAAGGGAAGAAGCCGTCTTCGGCTGGACAGAGGTTTTGGGATCTGCTTTTGCTGCTGGAAATGCGTGGGACGGAGGGTGTCCTGGTGATGGCCTTGGTGCCACCTCTGGCTCTAGAGGCATGTTCTCAGACCTGGCCAGAGGGCTGGCTTGTACCTGAGCTTGGCAAGACCTTCTCCTTCCAGCTGTGTGTGTGTCACAGTGAAGCTGGGACACTTAGAACTCCTGCTGGTGCTGGGAGATATCCAGGGCCCAGGCCCAGGCCTTCCCTCAGGACGTCCCAGGGCCTCACGGCTGCTCCCCACCCCTCCCACTACCCCGGGGTCCTGTGCTCCTCCCGACACACCGCTCTCCTGCCTGACCCAACCCAACAAATGTGTCTCTTCTTTGTAGGTGATTAGGTTATTTCCAATTTTTGTTCTGACAACACTGAGATGTGCTTGTCCCTTGTCCCATCCACCCTCACAGGACTAAGGAGGAAGCTCCCGACCACTGCTCCTCCCTCTCCCTCTTCCTCGAGCTGCTGCCCGTCTCCACGTCCCTGCCTGGTTCTCATTCCATCACACAGGGCCCCTGGCTCCAGGTGGGCCCAGCCCCGCACTTGATGGCCCTGCACCCTGGGGTCCTGTCCTACACGGCTTCTTGGCCCAACGCGCGGGGACGTTCACCCGCTATTGCCCGCCTCCCCTGCCGGCTGGCCCAGCTTTGGGAGGACAGAGCCTCTGCCTCCTCGCTGTCCCCAGAGCCCTTCACACCAGCTGTCTGTGCGTTACAAACCAACAACATTCCTGCAGGAATGAGCCGAGTGGGAAGCAGAGTGTGATTAATGTCGTCAGAGCAGTGAGCGTGGCCTGAGCAACAGCAGGGACACAGGAAACCCCCAGCCATCTTGGTCCCGCCTTGTTGCCACCCGCGAGCCCGCAGGCAGTGGGCGTCCTGGGAGCTCCCAGCATCCACGGCAAAACCTTCCAGCAATTTCTATAAGCTCAGAGACTGGTGGAGGCAGGGGGACATCTGGTGGCCAGTTGCTGGAGGTGGCTGCAGAGAGGATGGAGGTGAAGGAAGGAGCCCTCCGTGTGGGCATCTGGGGCATGCCCACCTTCCTGTGTTGCCCTCGCCTCACCCCCAGTCTCTGGGCCACGCCGTCTAGTCCAGGCCGGTGGTGTTGGTCAGATAGAAAGGGCGAATTGTCACTCGGAAGCCACTGAAGGCCCCTGAGGTGCAGGGGAAGGCGGAAGCTCTCCTGGAACTGTTGGTGGCCGCGGCACTGGGGA